TCAGCAAAGATATTTTAAAAGCAACAATTCTCAATCCGGATCAGTTCAACTTTTAAAGATATTTGCACAAGTCTAATATCGGTCTAAAGTGAGATCGATCAAAAAAAACTTTGTAGTCAGTGAACAAAATGATCGAACACTGGGTAAACAATCAACCAGCGTACAGTATTGAAATTTGTGTCCTCAGTTTTTGATCCAATTAAAGTAGTAGCTCCATATAATTCGCGGTATCGCTTGCTACGCTTGCTAGTGAATTATATGTGGCCAAACTCTCCTAGAGGAAATTAAACAACCATTACTTGTTTCCTATGTGAGGCACTCTGACGATACCCCGCGGCTTTTGTAGCCAGCCATTTGGCCGATTGAATGGGATGTGTTCTTTGCTGTCTCTTTGCTTCGTGGTGATCAATTTGCAAGTTCGCACGACACAAATAAACTGTGCCTCGTTGAGGCCGCGTAGCAATTTTCCATTTTCTTTAAGACCGCAATTGAAGTTTCAGGCAGCTCTTCTAGCGGCCCATTTTAAAGAGGAACAATCAAAAGGTCTCAAAGAAGACGAAAGCTTCATCAGTACTCACAGTTCCACTGCATTGGCCTATTTCTCTATTGGCCTATTTCACAGTTGCACTGCAGTGGTTGGTATCAAATACTTTACGGTGATCGAAGGATTTCGTTGCGCAGAAATCAGTTAGGTTGATGATCCAATTGTACTACCAACGACTGATTGGCCTGCCTGTCAAAACGGACAGCTGGATTAACAGTTAGCTCCAACTGAGGAGTTTGTGTAATTTTAATAAAATTTGTGAGTGTCCAGTTTTCTCACTACAGTTTTGTTCTATTTAATCTCTGTTGGACAAATGGAAGAAGTTCAACCCAATTGTAGAAACAAAAAAACCGTAGCAGTTTTTTGAGTTTGATGTCATCGCACAGACAAGTCCGGGCAAACATTTTTGAGACAAACAATCCCGCTCGGTGGGGTTTTCAAGAGCTGAAAGTTTTTATTTGGCTATTTCTGAACCCTTTAAAATTGATATAAATTTTTTTTTTCTGAAAAAAAATACACCCATAAAAAAAACGGCTTGCATCATTTGTTTAACTGGAATCAGTAAGCATTTTGTTGGTTTCGAGAAAATTGGAAAGATGCAAACTTTGATTAATGCATGTCACCCGTTAAAAAACTATTCCAAAATAAACATAACATGAAGTCGTTGATTATTTGCGTGCGATAGTATATCCGAAGTCAGTCGTTGTGAGATTAGGTTGGGTGGTTCGGCTCTTTGACAGTTCGAAGGCCTAAGACCAGAGCTTTTTATATCTGATCTGCTGGCTAAAAAAACTTTACAAGCATTTTCTTCCTGTAAAACAGTTCTTGAATATTTTGGCCCGTTCCTAGTTTTGATATGCAGAAGCATCAAGAAAAGTTGGAGGTTTTTGTTCACTTGCTTCATGGCTAGAGCGGTACTTATCAAACTGTAACCAAGCTCGTGCGCGATAAAAAACAAACATTTTTTGCAAGCGCGGCACTCCAACAACCGGTCTCATTGACAACGGCATATTTTTTGAGTTGTTTTGAGATTTTTGACAATTTTGCTCCCGGAATTTTTGCCTTCGTTTGAATGAAAGAAACCCAGTAGTTGCACCTCTCAACGGTTGGATTCAAGAACAAGTAGTGAGACGTGTCAATTGGGTCTTCCATGATTTTCTAGGCAACGGGAGAGCAACCGAGGAGGTTTCAGGAAACATAAAGGAGAATTTTCACAGCTTTTAATTTTTGCCACCAAACTTTAGAGGCCTTGTTTTTTACTACTTTATAACTAACCGACTTATACCTAGCTTCTCGTTGCCAAACTTTGATTGACTTGAAATGAAAAAATGCGAAAACGTAATCATGCCCTCCAACTTTGTGTTTACGCTGGCTACGCTAATGCATAACTCCCCTTGACAAGCAGACAAAGTGGCAGACACACTCGGATTCTATTCATATAGCTGTGACATGGTTGGGAATGTTGAGCGTGACAGTTTAAAATAGCAGTACCTGCTCGCCCATATAATCAGATTGTATTGAAACCGTTTCGAGCAAACTGAAATGTCCAACTTCAAATTTCGATCCCGTTCATCGGTGTTTATGAGCGGACGACGTTGCAGCGCAAAAACAAACGTACCTTTGATAGATATTATTTCTTTGGAATAAATTAAAACTAAAAACATTACGCTATAGTAAAATGCCTAGCGTGCTGATTGTGGAACAAAAAGTTGCGAGCTTCCCATATTTTCACATTTATGAACTTAAACCCTTGGGGCTTTAGCCATATTTGAACCCTTTCAATTGATTTTTTTGCTCTAATTTTCTTTGATTAAGCTGACTGCCAAATAATCGTTAGAGCGAAATACACTTTCGACAAAAGATTTTGCTAAGAAAGTGATATCCATCGGATTATGTGTTTATGTATGAATTTTTAACGAAAATAAAACCAAAAAAAAAAAAAAAAACTTTTGTCGGAACATTTTAATTTAAGTTAAAAACAGAAAAATTGACGCCCATTTTTAAAACCATGTCCCGACATACTGATTTAAGTTCTTTTGAGGAGATTCTTTTTGATAATTTGACAATGGCCAAAAATAATTTTTTTTTGTGAAATTGAGGCGCCGACGCAAACCCACTACTTTGTCACTTGCGTCAATTTTTTTTGAACGTTTTGCCATTTTGAAGGTTCTGACCGTCCTAATAGTAATAAGTCCATATGAGTTCTGCTTCTCTGTTATTTATTTATCAAGTTGGTAGAATATTTATAAATATGCATTGGGACGAGTCTAAATTCAAGATATAATGTGCAAATAACATTAAGAAAAAGCCAACTTTTTCTAATGTGGTGGGAAATCCTGTTGGAAAATTCTGTTTTGAAAACGTTTGAAAATGTTTTCTTGGGTTATTAGAGCTACGTCATGATTCTCATAAAACCCAAATCCAGTTGTAAATAGATGTACCTATTCGATCAATAATTGTTTTTCGTTTCTTGTTTTTTTTTGAGTTTTGATTGTCTAAAATTTCGTTTTTAAAACAAAAAATGGTTGTTATACAATTTCGATATATGTAACTTCTATTACAAGAATTTGATTTCTAAAAAGTCCTTTTTTCACTGTTTTGAAATATTGCGTCGATTTTACAACTCGGATGAAGATGGTTTGATTTAAAAGTAAGTTTGGGTTACAACCCGCATTGGAACTCCGAGAATAAAAATGAATTTCAATGAGTGCCCACAAAAGTGACTAAAAATCGATTAAAATCATTTCAAAACTGATTATAAAAAAGTTACTTGTGAGGCAACAAAATGCATTTTTAATTCATTATAAACGATTTTTTCTTATTTGTGGACACTGACAATAAAACTAAATTGTAATTATTTTTTTTTCACTTAATTCATGTCCGAAATTCAACGCACATAAAGTCTTCTCTATATTTGAAACTAAAGTTGGTTATCTTTGTTCGATTTAATTTTTTTTACGCAACTTTGATATTTGTCACTTCTTTATGTTACGCAATAACTGAACCTGGTTCACGCCCCCTTGCAACCTCCAATTTTCTCCCATTGCCCCTTTTAACCCTTACCCCGCCATCCCCCACCTGAACCAAACACGTGCCCCCCCCCCCCCCCCCCCCCCCACATCAACACATCATTACTCATTTGATAAAACAAAAATTTTGCACGACGCGAAACAAAAATAAAGTGAAAAAATTCATTTTAATATGTTTTTCTACTAATTTTATAGTCCAATAAAATGGACTTCACATGAATCATAATACAGTATGTTTTAGCGAAGGGGGTTGGTGTGGTTCAGTTGGGGGGAGGGGGTTAGTTGGGAGGTGAGGGGTTGAGGTAGGGGGAGGCTTTTCTTCGTTTGCTTCTGCATCATCTAGTGTGAATTACTAAAGTTTTAGAAGAGGTTTTACTTTTCCAATGCTTTCTTGGCTTTTAGTGCTGTGAAAAATTTAGGAAAACTTATAAGAGTCGTTATTTTAAATAGTGGCAGCAGTTTGTGACAGTGGTTGTTTTTATTTCTTTTTATTGTGTTAATTTAGATTTTTCTGAAAGTTGTTCATTTAAATAAACTTCTTAGAAAAAAGAAACGTAAGTAAAAAAGTTGATGTAGTTGTGGTATTTGGTTTTCTTGATTTTTTTCGATTGGCAATTTTTTGATGAGCAAACGGAGTGGTCTGTTTAAAATGTCGGATTTTTTTTGGATGAGCTTTTTGGTTGACATCTACTCTTTCAGCTTTTTTTTAGGTTTATGCTCGTGTATAAAAGTTCTCAGTGTAAGTTAACAATAACACTATCAAACTTCTGTTCTATATCAGTTTTTAGTTCTGCGTAATTTTGGTGTCCTGGATTTACCAAAAACGATAATCACGCAGTTTTCATTCAATTCCATAACTACAGAAAATAGCATTGAAGTTCTATGATTAGAATTTTTTCATTTATGGAAGTTGTATGATTAGCGTTTTGCCATAAGGCAAAGACTATGATTTTTGTAAAATTTGAAAACTCCACGTTGTTGGGTTGTGTTCGTAACGGAACACAAATGGCAAAAACTTTGGTTCCTCAAAAATACAGTCACCAAAGATTTGACCGTCTCGCAATTACCACGCATCAAAAATGACCTAAATAGTCCTAGTTTTCTCTTAAGCAAATGATAAAATGAAAGAATCAAA